TAAAATCTCCCATTTTCTTTCTCCCATTATTTATTTACAAGCTCTCAGACTATGACTGAATTTTCCAGCAACTGCTTAGTCTTTTCATCCTCCCCTGGGGCTATTGTCTTTGCCTCTGACAAAGTCTTTGCTTCTGACAAGTCTTTGCCTCTGCCAAGCCACACAGCTCCCCCTCCCCCTTTGGATTCCCCTTTTGCTTCCACGGCTTGTAAAGTTTTGTCTAGACTTTCCACAGTCCTTAAATAATTTTCATACACATGTGGCAGTGACCCCCATTGCTCCAGTAACTGTGCTATGTCATGCCATTTACAGGATGGCAACTATCTGGATATTTCTCTCATTGACTCTGTCCACATCTGCATAAGCAGCCTCATTTTAGTTACATATTTTTCTATCCATTGCATACACCATGTGACTGCTGCTAACCCCATTAAGTACATGGGGATTGCCCACACTTTCCCCTTGGCTCCTTTTGGTTTCTCCAGGATAGGTCAAGTTACCTCACTGAATGCCTAGCAGCACCCATCTCCACCACTCCGGATTTGGGAATCTGAACCTGACTCCGTTTTGATCAGCTCCATGGAAGCCAGCAGAACCATGATATTTTCCAAGACACAGGCCCCTCTCTCAAAGCAAACACATTCCAGGATCCCTGCCCTTCACAAAGAAAAGAGAATTATCCCTGAGGCTTCTGCTGGCTTCTCCCTATCAGAGACATCCCCATCGTGCTTCCCAAACTCCTGAAGTTTCTTGTATCCTGTGTATCCTGTTGAACTACACCAATTTGTAATGCCATATTCTCCCTTGGGAGACCCATGCATGCTGACTCAGCTCCCAGGCCCACATGGTCCTAATGCCAACTGACAAAACCAAAACTTTGCCTTCGATATGGGGATTTATTTGTATAAATTTTATGAAGTCCAAAAGAAAGTTACTTACAAAGGCATACACCCATGGGCTTTTTACCTACATTTTGGCTGAGCTTTTGAGATCCTCTGTTGCCAGCAGGCCACCAGTGCCCCACCAAGATGGTGATTTTTCTGCCACTCTTCCTTAGACCTTCTTCCTCATGCTGGCAGATTGGGTGGGATGGGTGACTGTCTCCCCTTCTGCCTACAGAATCCCTTGGGGTTCAGTACTAGTTCTTTTGGAGGACATGCCTACCCAACACCTAGACTGTTTATTACACAGAACTGGAGGTTTTAAATGTCAACATATATACAGCCTAAAAACACAATGTATGAAGCAAAGATAATTTTTAACATTTGTATCCCTAAAGTTTGGAATCAATAATCACATGTTCTGTAGTCTACATATGTTTATTATTGAAGTAGAAAGTGCATACTTCTAACATACAAGACATCACTTTATCCAACTAATCATTTAACTAAAGTGTATTGTATCCCAGAACTTTTCCATTATTCAGTGCTGTTACTGCAAAGTAAATCTATGATCTCTTACTGAGTACATAGGTAGAGAAAGCAAGTTCTTCAAATCACAGAAATGTTTAATAGAATTATCCTGTAAATCCATCTGGTCCTGGGCTTTTTTTAGTCTGGAGGTTTGGTATTACTGTTTTGATTTCTTTTTGTGTTATGGGTCCATTTAATCTGTTAATCTCTTCTTGGTTTAGTTTTGGTAGTTCCCATGCCTTTAGATATCCGTCTATTTCTTTTAGGTTTTCAAATTTAGTAGCATATGGGTTTTTAAAGTATTCCCTTATGTTCTGTATCTTTCTGGTGTCTGTTGTGATGTTTCCCCTTTCATCTCTGATTTTGTTGATTTGGAGGTGCTCTTTCTTTCTTTTGGTTAACTGGGGTAATGGTCTGTCAATCTTGTTTATCTTTTCAAAGAACCAGCTCTTAGATTTGTTGATCCTTTGTATTGTTTCCTTTGTTTGAATTTCATTAATTTCTACCCTGATTTTTGTTATTTCTTGTCTGCTGGGTTTGGGTTTCATTTGTTGTTGCTTTTCAAGTGTGTTGAATTGCAATGTTAAGTCATTTGTCTTCTTTCCAATTTTCTGATCTAGGCAATTAGAGCTATTAGCTTTCCTCTAAGGATCACTTTCAGCGTGTCCCAGAGGTTTTGTTGTGTTGTATTGTCCTTTTCATTTAGTTACAGGAATACTTTTATTTCTGTGTCAATTTCTCTTTTGACCCATTCATCATTCAGGAGTGTGTTGTTTAATCTCCATGTGTTCATGTGGTGACTAGGGCTTCTTCTGGTGTTGATTGTAAGCTTTATTGAATTGTGGACTGATAGAATGCATGGAATTATTTCAATCTCTTTGTATTTGATGAGGTTTGTTTTGTGCTCCAGTATATGGTCAATTTTGGAGAAGGTTCCATGGGGTGCTGAGTAGAAAGTATGTCCTTTGGTGCTTGGGTGCAATACTCGGTAGATGTCTGTTAGGTCCACTTGATATATGGTATTGTTTAATTCAGATGTCTGTCTGTTAACTCTCTGCCCTGAGGACGTATCTAATGGAGACAGTGGGGTATTGAAGTCCCCTACTATTAATGAGTTGGGATTGATCTGACTCTTAAACTCCTGTATTATTGTTTTTATAATGTTGGGTGCACCAGAGTTTGGTGAATATATGTTAATGATTGTCATATCTTCTGGGCTTATTTTTCCTTTGATCAGAATGAAGTGGCCCTCTTTATCTTCTCTGATTAGTTTTAGTTTAAATTTTATTTTCTCAGATATTAGATTGCAATGCCTGCTTTTTTCTTATACCATTCACTTGGTGTATTTATTTCCATTCTTTCACCTTAAGATAGTGCCTGTCCTTGAAAGTGAGATGATTTTCTTACAGACAACAAAAAGATGGTTTTTGTTTCTTAATCCATTCACCTAGTCTGTGTCTTTGACTGGGGAGTTCTGACCATTTATATTTAAAGCTATTAATGAAAGATGTGTATTGAATCCTGTCATTTTTATTTCTGTTTACATTCTTGATATAGCTGTACCTTTCCACAGTTACACCTTCACTGAATTTCTTTCTGCAACTCCTTGGGTATAGTCATTCATTTCTTCAGCTCTTTGTATTGCTTCCAGAACTCTCTGAAGGGCCGGTTTTGTGTACATGAATTCCTTCAGCGTATTTATGTCATGGAAGATTTTTCTTTCCCCTTTGACTATAATAGACATTTTCGCTAGGTATAGTAATCTGGGTTGGCATCTGTGGTCATTTAAAACTTGATATACTTTAGTCCAGGCTCTTCTGGCTTTCATAGTTTGCACTGAAAATTCAGCTGTAATCCTGATGGTTTTCCTTTATATGTGATTTGTTTCTCTTTTGCAGCTTTCAGTATTGTCTCTTTGTTCTGGGCTTTTAGTCTTTTTACTATGATGTGCTGTGGAGAGTTTCTTTTCTCTTCCTGTTTGGTGTTCTATATACTTCTTGTATTTGTATGGGTATGTCTTCCTTTAATTTTGGGAAATTTTCTTCTACGATTCTGTTGGAGATCTGGTACATGCCATTATCTTGGGATTCTTCTTCCTGTATGCCTATGATTCATAAGTTTGGTCTTTTTATGATGTCACACAATTCCTGCAAATTCCATTCTTGTGCTTTCTTAAATTTTTCATAATCTTTGCTTGAGTGTTGTAGTTCATCCACTTTATCGTCCATTTCATTCATCCTATTGGTGAGGCTTTCTCCTGTCATTTCTAGTTGGCTTACTAAGAGTTTCACTTCCTTCTTCATTTCAGCCTGATTAGTTTTCAATATTTCTATGTCTTTTCTGAATTCATTCAGAAGTTTATCCCTATCTTCCTTCAGTTCTTTGATTTCTTTGTGTGTTCTTTAAATTCACTGAATTCTTTTATCATGTTAATAATTGTTCGAGTTCCATGCCCTGCATTATCT